GGCGAAACACGCATATATGTGCTAAGAGTGTCCGGAACACGTGTTTTAATCGTATAACGTTATATCCGTGAAGAGACCACTTTACTTAATTCGCAATACTCCTCTTTGAAACCTCGACTAGACGAACTGCACGAAACAAAATTTTTAATTAATCTCAAATCACACTCGGCTGCACTTGTAACGAATTGCCTTAAGTAAAGGTGAAAAGGGAGATAAAAATGTAAGAATTAACGAAATGAATATAAGAATTAACGAGATGAGTATAAGAATTAACGAGATGTACTAAAAATGTTTACAATTATCATTTAATGCTCAAAATTGTTAAATTATGCTGCAATATAGTAATTACTATTAAGTTGATTATATCTAGTAGTTGCAGTATAAAACAAATATTCAATTTATAAAATTTTGTGTATGTACGAAAATACTTTTAAATTGTTAAATGTTTTATGTATTATATATTTTATTAAAATGGCATATATTTGAAATAACGCAAGGCACGATTATATACTCTCTAAATTCTTTGAAGTGAAATTGAAATCTCATTCTGAAGAGTGAAAAATGAGTCTCAAAAAAGAGTAGCTTAATTTTTAATCTTTAAGAGTGAGATTTCAATCTTCAAAGTGAGATTCACTCTAAAAGTTTCTCAAAGAGTAAAAATTTATTTTATTTATACACGATACTTAATCGCTATTATATTTGAGAATGTATTACACGTATTTTTTTAGAAAATTAAAACAGTATAAAAGAATCACTGGTTTTTCTATATTGTATTTGGAAGTAACATAAAAAATGTAGTAGCGATTCAGAACTTGGATAAAAAATTATTTCAATAAGAAACTTGCTTTTAAAACATAATTAACATGAATGAAAACATTTTCATTTAAATTATAAAATTATATCATTAAATATAAATACCTAAATAAACTGTTTCATACAATTCATTTTTATAAGTATAAATTTCCAATTTCAGTTATACATTTGAAAGAGTGCGAAGGAATTAATAACTATACAATTGCACAGAATGTGAGAGTAAAAATAAATTAAGAATAGATTGAGGTTAGTTCGCATAGGGGAAAGATAATGAGCGAGAAAGATAAAATTATGGTATAAGGGAGAGATATAAGGGGGAAACCAGACGAATGAATGAATCTCGCAGCTCATACGTGTTCGGTTTTACTTATTCAGTACATCATCTGATTCGACACGCATCGCTGATACATACCCCGCTTGCTGTACGCGGAATACAAAATTCTTTCGATGAGGCATTATCCGCATAGTGTCGTTGACTTTGTGCCCATTTTCTTTAATCAATTTCAATGAAGGCAAATGTCTCAAGCAGATAATAAATGCGGCTTTACGTCAAGTAAGCAACTTTCTAAGTGATAAAATGCAACGACCATCTATGTGAGATGCTTAAAATGAGACATAATAGGTCCAAGTTAATTATCGAAAAGTTGTATCTTTCGAAAACGCTCATAGCTTGAAATTTAATAATTCATAACATAACGTGTAATTTGTGTGATAAATCACAGTATGTTTACTTTGAAGTTTAAATTTTATTTCATATTTTAAAGCGTGATTAATGTAAAACATGACATATAATGTTTCAATATTAAAAAATAAGCAGAAACTCTGCTTCGAAATTTCTGAATAAAACTTGCAATAATTTATCAAATTAATTTTAAATTGTAAATAGTTGTATCCTGTTTAGTGATCTTTCAACTCTGTGATCAATCAAATACTTTTCTCCATTTGTAGTTTACGCATTCGTGTTCTCCTTTTGTGAATATATCGGATGACGCTTTCTCGGCGAGAAAAGGATTGAAGTGTCTCGAACGAATTACTTGTCATTACGAAGCATATTATATGCCATATAAGTGCTGAAGAGAAGTCCGTACGTAAGAAGAGAGAAATGCAGATTCGAATCGCGACTCAGAGATTTCGTCATCGCGATGCACAACCGGAATACTGTACGAGTCACGGACGTATCTCTTGGTGCAACGTGGCATACCGATATGAAAAGACGAAGGCGCACAGAGAGAAAACCATAGTGCATTCGATTATCGTCAACAATAAATTGAATTACAAAGATTGAGATACAAGAAATTAAATGCAAGTGATCCTCTAACGCGTTATCAAAATAATTTAATCTCTATCATAATCACAAAAGAAGATTAATTATCTCAAAAATATATAATAATTATTTGGAATTTTTGTAAATTTGGTTCGTAAATTTTATTTTAAAATATACTGTTAGAGTAATGTGTATTTTTATTTGTAATCGATAAGTATAATAAAAAAGATCGTTCCGTTAACGAACAACAAACGATAAAAAAAAGATAAAAAGATGTCAGGAGGTTATCGCAGGAAAACGTTAGAAACTTTTACACGCTTCCTCTCGGGATCTCCTATTGTATAAAAATAGTACAATTAATATCCGTCGGGGTCACGAAATTAACCGCAACGCCAAGTTACTTTCGTTGTGTCGCCCAACGATTCTAATTTATACTTTCAAATCATGATGAATGTCTTACACTTAACACGAGACTCGAAATCCTGATTAAGATAAACGTTATCGCTACGGTTTTCTTTACACGTTTTTTCTTCGTCTTATCTCATAAAACTTTCACGGGCTTGAATCATAATTTTTCTTGCTTCGTTCAAGACAGCACTTTGATTGCGACAGGAAAGTTAATTTATAATTATTACAGGTTTTATTGAAATAAGTAAAGGGTTGTCGCAAGACGAAATCTCTTAGTCATTGCTATTAACGTCCCAGTGATTAGTCCAATACTTTATCGTATTTCTCAAAATAAGTAACGGCTTATTTTTCTTATTATGATGAAGCAAAATAACGATGAGGAATATTCATCCATCATTCGATATTAATTAAAAGCTAATGTATAACCGTTTTGTCATACAAGTATATGTATATGTTTACACATCGTTATATCAAAACTATAAAATTAAGTGGAATAGGAATATCCGCGACAGAACTGGTTTTCGTCGATCAGTTATTACGTTGCTTTGATCAAGCATGGTCTCTCAAACAACTCATTATATTCAATTTGAAATGCATTTTCCTGCTTAAAAGTGCGTTTGAATTTATTTCTAATATAGATGGATATATGTTTTAGTGTATAAATACATGAATACATCACCTAGAATTTTTATTATTACTTTGATAGTCACCGTTAACAATTGAAGAAAATGTCAAGTAATGCATTCAAACGTAGACGGTAACATACCGTCGCTTTCCAGTTTAATTCTTCATTTGAATGAAAGCGCGTTTAATTTGCGAGACGAGTAGACACGCGAAACGTCACTACGGAACGGAATAGTTGACTCTAGGCGTAGAAAATGATTTTTATTCTGCATGGCGATTTCATGCGAGCACTGTGAGCAGGACGAAGCGGAGCTTATGTGAAGCGTTACGCTACCGGCGATGTGTAAAAGGACACACGCGGTTTTAAAAGTCCTCGCTGCGCCCGAAAGGAGGATCCTCCGGTGGAGGAGGCACGACAGCCGTGTATTATCTACGAGGGGCACTACTTATATTTTGATCCTTGGCAACACTGAGTGTTGTCAGGTGCCATTTGACGTTTCCACTAGAAAGTTTGACATTTTTGACCATAACCTTCTTCAGAACGTTTTGTTATTTGAGCGCGATTTGTATTGTTTACAGTCACTTGAAAATTGTCTCAGCGAAAAAATGGAACTCGTGAAAATTTTCGTGCAACAATTTATTACGACTTTCGACGTGGATTATCAAGACAGGAGTGCATCGATCAACTTACTTCCACTTTTGGCGATAAAGCCCCATCCTTTGCCACTGTGAAACGCTGGTATAACGAATTTAATCGTGGTCGCCGTTCGCTCATCGACGAAAGTCGTGAAGGTCGTCCAAAATCAGTTGTTGTGTCAGAAAACATTGATGCTGTGCAAAAACTAATAATGCAAGATCGTCATGTGACATACTGTGAGATTGAGACAACCTTAGGCATTAGTTCCACCAGCATATATAAAATATTGCATGATCATTTAGCCGTGAAAAAGGTTTGTTCTCGTTGGATCCCACATAATCTGACAAAATCTCAAAAAGATGCTCATACTCGGCCACATGAACGCTCGGTCGTGCGCTTTCGCTGCGTCGACATGCCTGCAATGGTATACGTTTAACTATCAGAGATTCGCAATCGCGCGAACGAACGAACGAGCGGCTATTTTCCTCTCGTATGCTCTTCTCGCGAGACTTCGGCCCGTTGTTCACCGGATATTAAACGTCGCGTTATTGCTACGCGCGCATGCAGGATCGAGGAGCCCGCGAGACACGTGCGTGTGCCATTAGCATCGCCAACATCAATGTTGCATTTCCCTTCCCATGAGTGCCAAGCGTACTCACAACGTACAACGAAATAAAATTGCGCGTTTAAGAATCTTGAATAAACATTTAATGTGTTGGATCCTACTCGGAGCTACACGAAGACGACGTTTATGGTGCTCAAAATGCGGGAAGAGAACAGCATGTTTCTTCTCAAGTCAGTAATTATGAAGATAATTCGTATGTTCTTAAATTAACTAAACAAGGATAGAAATATGATATGCTGAACTGGTGAAATTGAAATCGGTTCAAATTAAAATATTATGTGACAATAATCATAAAATAAAACATATAAAAACAGTCAATATTAGCTCTACAATGTAGAATGCAAAATACTAAAAAATAATCTTGTTCACTTTTTATGCTCTATTAGGGTTTTTCCAGGCAATGCCAACAAGTGTTAAGTACCGCGATTAATTTGGTTGCGTAAAGCAGCTTATTATGCGACTGAAAAAAAGAGAACGCGACAAACAGTCCGACTCACAGACAGCAGTTTTCACGGGTCAACTTTCTTTCTGCAATAAAATGGAACGCGAATTTCGTCAGAGGCATGAGAAGTATACGATCACGTAAACAAGAAATTAAATACCAAAACATGTATAACGTTCCTACTTACGCCTCGCAATATGGCTGTTTGTTGAAACCCTTGTACGTCCGCATATTCAGGGTCATACCGCAGCCCTGACACTTGAAACATTGCTTGTGCCATATCTGTAACAAGGAAACATATCAATTTGTCAGGTTTATGCGATTACAAACATAACGCGAAAAAAAAGAAGAAAAATAAAACGCTTAGTACAATACACCTCTCAAATTTTCGAATTTTATAATCAGTATTAAACTTGATTCGTTGTAATACGAATCATAATCTGATACAGTAGGTATTATGTGCAGCGCATTTCGTCATCAACTCTTTCAGTTACATCAACAAGTGTTGCAAATGCGCTCTTCTATAAATATTAAAAGTTTGTTTTCTACGAATCTTATTTCGATCGAGAAGTGTCCTACTTAATTTTCTTGCATATCTCTTTAGAACCTGTATGCTTATAAATCATTTACTTTCACCAAGATAATTTCATCATATAAATTTCATTGCACTGCACTTGCGGAAAATAAACGTCAGCGATAAATAACGAATGATACTATTGGTGATGATAATATTACGGCACGACAAAGATATCTCGCGACCTTATTCGCAGTGTTATGGACTGTTAATATTTCATAATAATGATATCAATATAATAAGGCAATCTAATATCTTATACAGATAATCATATGACGTTAACGAGATGAAATTATCAGTTTCTTTCGCCGTAATCTCTCTCTTTGTTAATGAGATATTTTCAGTACTTAACCGCCGGAATTAATTACAAGTTTCGTACTCGAAGTATATGCTTCTCTAAAAGAAGAAAACAGTTTAGTTGTCATAGAAGTAAATTTCAGATCTGTTGAAAGTTTTTACCTATTGTTAATTAGCGCATAGCAGACCAAAAGAAATGTTTGACCAAATTATTCATAAGCTAAACTTTTTTATAAACTTTCAAACATTAATGTCTGCATGCAATAACAAAAATCGTATTTAACCAAAGTAAAATAATTAAAAATGTAATTTAATGAGATGGAACAAAAATAAAAATTATCCTATTCCGAATAAAACTAATAAAATTTTTTAGTACAACCAATCCGTTCTACAGAAAAAAAAAAGATAATTATTTTATTAGAATGACTAACGATTTCGCATTATTAATGACTCTTCTTGTCTTGTTTTTAGAGAAATAATCAAATATACAGGGTGTCCCAGAATGACCGCATTTCCTCTTAAGAACGTATTCTTGATGTAATTTTAAGACGAAAATCCTAATGCAAAAATGTCGAGGCTACAATAATTTTTGAATTATTTAAATTGAATTGGTTAAAGATAGTGTGTAATTAGAAATAGCCTCCCTCGATATTTTCGTATTAAGATTTTCGTCCTAGAATGTTCAAAAGAATCCAGAAATAATAATAGAGGCTATAAAAGTAAAATGGTTTTTTACTTATAAACATTTAAAGTTAACTTATAATTTAAAAAATTATTGTAGTCTCGACATTTTCGTATTAGGATTTTCGTCTCAAAATTACCTCAAGAATACGTCCGGAAATGCGATCATTCTGGGACACCCTGTATATATAATATACTGTATATATAAAATGTATTTCGACTTAACTTGCAGAGACATGAGCCGATATGGATATGAAATACTATATAATAGTTTAACATCCAAGATAAAATTCTCCTGATGTTAAATAGCATTAAAATTGCATTTATTAGAACCCTTTCATCTCAAAAAGGTTAAACGACATTTAGTTAGTTCTTGAAATCGCACTCAACCCTGTCACGTTATACTCGATATGCTATTGATAAATAAGATATATGGCTTTCAGTGATACAGTGCGACGAGCATTAACCAAATACGTCTGCTGTAATCCAACAGCTGTGCGTATCATCATCATCATCTCATAATCTTTCTCGCAAATATTATGAAACACGTTAAGATTCTTCAGACTAGAATGGTGATGTGCATTACGATAAAATTTACTAATACGAGTTCTCCTAATGCTTCTGCAATTTAATCATAGATTTGATAATATACCTCACGATAATCTTTTCAACGAACTGAATATTAGGTATCGAATGACAAGAGTATCGCATATTATATTTTATTTAGCAATTGATATTCTATACAATATATATCTCCATATTTTTCATTAAGTAAACTTGTAAAAACACAATTATTGTAATATATTTCTTAATTTGCCATCGGAACTGTTTTTTTAAACAATATGTACCGAATATATATTTAATTTCAAGAATTTTTTATATTCCTTCGATGTTTCTGTTTACACTGTGGCTCCAAATTTATAATACTTGATTGCTGAGTTCAAACATAAAGCTTTGTTATAAAAAAAATAAAATAAGGTAATTTCTCTTTTTTGTAGAAACATGGATTTAATTATCTTGAATAAGAAGCTAACTGGACGAAGCACACGTACGGTTTTATTCATCGCGTCAAGCCATATATTAGGTTAATCTATACAATCGAAGGTTATCGTAGTGGTATCGAGGCCCTCGGCAATCGACAAGGCCGTTCTCAGGAATCGACAAAGGTTACAGATCGCTAGAGAACGTAGTCGATGACAGCCTGATCTTGATAGTCTCGAAACACGAGATGACCTATTACTATAAAATGAGTCAACTAGGCAATTTATTTATTACATCCTATGTTGGAGAACGAAAGAATTAGTAACTTTTAAATTATTAAATATCTTTAAGTGCAATAGCAAAAAATAGATTAGATGTTGAATGCAACGAAAATATTATATAGATACATTTCAAAAATTTTTTGGTACATTTCAAGAAGGAGTTACTTTGAGAAATATCTACGCTCATTACTATTCTCTTCTATACGCTTTACAATCACTACAATAGCATACAATGTTCTCATAAGACTTCCTTCGTTGCAAAATAACATCGCAAGCAAGAAACTGAAGGCACACCACAATGTGTTTTAACGATCCTTTCGAAAGCCGCATATGTTAGAAAATAGTTGCAGGGACAAAAAGAAGCGGATCCATAAAACAATCTTATGAGCTCTTAAAGTAGTCTTCATGTGTACTAAAAAAAATTATAATTATAAATAACTTCTTGAAAAAGTATCTTAAAAAGAAGAAAATTATATTCTTAAAAATATATAAACTTTGCTAAAAACATCTTGCGTTCGTGGTATATGTTCTTTATCTTTCCGTTTTTAAATTTTGACCACGTATTGATATTTATTGAAAATGATATTCCTTTTTATTAACAAATATCAACATAAAAATAATTTTTATTACGCATTTGAGGCTTCCACGGTTATCTTCTTCGATTATATTAGAGGGTTTGCGGGTTATCACCGTGTCTTCTTTCATGGACGATGCCAACGTTTCGTGAACCATGCTGTTCACTTCATCAGGGCGAGGGGTGCACTGATACAGTATTTTATTTTTTAAATCTCACACACACACAACTGGGGCTAATAATAATTTCGCGTCACCAACATCAACATTATTTATTTTAACTGGAATGAAAGGATGAATCGAGGTAAGCAAAAGCGCGATTTTAATCGTATGTTGCAAGGTCGAAACATCGCGAAGAACTTTGTTGAATAGTGAAACTTTTGCTCTGAATTCCGTAAAATGTCAGCGAACAGACATGTTAAATAAAACATTGTCGGAATCTTTTTTTCTTTTTTAATGTGCGGTACGTTTTGATTTCTAGACGGCGAGGTCATAGACGTCAATTCACGAGACAATGTCGGAATGCGGCTGGTAATAAATGCAACGACACCTTATTTATGTATGTCGTGCGATCGACAAAATACACATATAAGAAATACAACTGTATTGTTAGACAGGCATGCCTGCGATTAGAAATTGATCTCATATTTTACCGTTCATGTTTAATATGTTGTAATGAAGTCAGCCTTGTGTCCACGAAGCTAGAAATCGGTTCGAGATCTCGGACAGAGAAAAAATTAATAAATTACATTTTTGAAATATTCAGTCACATGATCAATGTGTCAGTTGGTCAATTTTTTCTTTATTCAAGATCTGGACCGATTTCTATCGTGGACACAAGACTTTATATAGTCTAGAAAAATCGTAGTATGCACTAAAGTTAATCATATAAAAGAAGCAAATAGAGATATGAAGATAAATTAAAGTTTACAGAAACGCATTTCGGATTGCGCATACAAGATAATTCTATAGTTTTTATTATGATAAAAATGAAATTTGATGAATAAAGAACGATCAAATTATTTTGTATACTATCGTGTGCTGCAAGCATAAATATATGGATTTGCTTTTAATTTGCAAGATTATAATGTACAGAATTGTTCGACTGCACACAAATTCTGATAAGAAATCTGCATAGGGAGAATAACACTGCAGTACGGTTTTCTTGATCAAGCACTTTCACCCGATTTCGGAATGTTTTTTACCTGTGCAAGACTCTTGTTTCGTAAGATATCTTATTTATAGTTGCCGTATATACAGTGTCCTGGATTAAGAAGAGAGCGGTCAGTGTGCGGCAAAACCGCTTATACATCTTGAATATGCTTGACGTTACGTGCGCGCGCGACGGCGCTATGGGATATGACCTTAATTATGTGCTTAGGTGGAAAGCGATTTAATGCTCCGATACGCATAAAACTTAAGAATCTGATAATGTGGTCGCACTCGAGTGCTCTGTTACATTATTCTTTATCGTTGATGCGATAGAATCAGTGATTTGTTTGCCGTCAAGCAACACCCGGTACTCATTATATATAAAATAGATATAATTACATAAGCAATTTATTCCTGAAAGATATTTTGCTCTATTATTTTTTTACATGAAATATCGTTGAATATTTATAGCAATTACTAAGAAACGAAGCAAATCACGAATTGTTGAATAAAATTCGTTATAAAAATTCATTAAAAAGAAGGGATTACATCAACAGCGCGGAAATACATTTTCGTCGAAAAGCCGAGGAAGAATGGCGTTTAAATCGATACTATCGCCAAAAGTGAAAGTTCGGCTACGTGATGAATTGTCGAGTAAGTGGCAATCGGTGGAACAATGACAACTGATCTCGCATGCCTTTCTAACGAGCTGAATATTGAACGTTACATGACGAGCGTGATGC